GGAAAGAGTATATCACACAGACACCAAGTCGAAAAAGTTCACAATACGTTCCAGTAAAAGAGCATCCAGGGTAGCTGAAACACTTGCGAAGTGGGGAAAACACAGACTGTACCTATATTGTAATGTTATTATAATACAATGTTAAGGAATATGAACTTTTTCCCATGAGCAATGGAAAGTCATTGATGACTCTGAACACTGTAAAGATATGATCAACTTTTTTTTTTTTTTAGGAAAAAAATATTTGGAAAGATAAATGGGACAGCACCACGGAAAAGTGATAAGAACGTAGAGGACTACAGACAGCGGTACCAGTTTAAAGGTAACTGTTGTAGTCCAAGGGAGAAATAATAAGGGTCTGAACTCGGATTACGAAGAGGACTTGGATTTGAGAGATACTTCAGAGGGAGAAAGGGCAGGGCTTTGGGACTGGCCTCTGGCCAGGAAAAAGAAGAGGTAAGAGTCTGGGTTCTCATTTAATGGTGATACTTTGCACCAGGCAGAGCAGTTAATGGGCACTCCTTAAACACATGTTGAAAGGAATTACATTTTATTAACCTGATAACGAAGTTAACTAAGTAATGTTAGCAAGTTAACCAAGTAATGAATTACTAAGCATCAATATATCCAAGATAAGCACACCCTTAAAATAAAAGTAGAAGAGAAAGATTAAATGAAAAATTACATACTGGTTGATAGCAAAACTACAGAGTTATTTTTTTTTTTTTTTTTTCCTTGCGTTATGCGGGCCTCTCACTGTTGTGGCCTCTCCCATTTGCGGAGCACAGGCTCCGGACGCGCAGGCTCAGCGGCCATGGCTCACGGGCCCAGCCGCTCCGCGGCATGTGGGATCTTCCTGAAACGGGGCACGAACCCGCGTCTCCTGCATCAGCAGGCGGACTCTCAAGCACTGCGCCACCAGGGAAGCCCTACAGAGTTATTTTTAAGACAAAGAATGAAATCATGATATCAGAATTGTCCCAAAGCGTGTTCCACAGCGCCTTGGTCCCAAAATAAATACCATGATAAAACAGTTCCCTGGTCAAACACATTTGGAAAATTTTGCACACAACATTCACACTTAAATATTTACTATTAACACTACCATAAAATATACTCTGAAAAGTTCCATGATTTAAATAAATTAATTTGAATGAAGACAGACGTTCCCAAACTTTTGACTGTGGGATATTATCAAATTGTCTAGAGACCCGGTGTTCCTGAGGACCTGCTGGAGAACAATACCTCGCAAAAGGCACTTCAAGTCGAAACCTAGAGTTGCAGTGGAATCACGAGAATATATTATAATCTATAGAAGTGCAAACATACAAACCTTCAGGTGAAGTTTTTGAAGAATTCGGGTGAGCAATCGTGGAAATCTTCCTATATCTATTTCATTTATCAGCGACACTGCTTTTTTCATGCTAAATAAATTCATAAAACAAAGTTTTAAAATGAGTTTTCCCCAAGTGGTACTGTAGTTACTCTAAGTACAGCTGTCTGTAAGTTTTCATTTCGACAACTCTGCTTGCTACAACGTAAGTCTGAGTAAAATAAAGAAAAACAAATGATGGCCAGCAAAGGCAGGATGGTTCCAAAAGATAACCCCAAAAGTATTTCTGTTGAAAAGGTCTATCTGGCAAATTTTCTCTTTCTTCTGGGCAAGGCAAACGACTAGGAGAAGCTTGCACTCTGTGGGGAATGGTATTAATTTAGGAGTGAAAGTTTATGTATCCACTTAACTCAAAACAGAACTTTGAGAAGAGTGGGAGGAGGGAATTGGCAATTACACCAAAAATAGAAAGAAAAGACTGCTGCATGGCAGGTAATGGAATAAAAAAAAAAAAAGAAAAAAAAAAAACTACATACAATATCATTTGGGGTCACTAAGTACACAGCTGTTTTAAAACCCTGTTTCAATTGTAATAATCAGCTTTAATTACGTGATAAGAACAATTCTACTGCACCATGTTGAATATGGTTTACTGATGTGATGTGTTACCCAGGACAATGGTGTGAGAAAAGGAACTGGCTGGCTGTCAGAACTCAAGTAATAAAAAAGGAAAAACTTCAAAATGACAACTCTCTTCTTCAGAAAGACTCCTATCCAATCTAGACACAAAGTTATTCTCCAGCCTCAATTATTTGCCTGTATACTTCCGCACTTTTCTGCATCCACACACCACCTGCACTATTATTTTTCATTAAATGAAGTCACTTTTACTTAAATAATTTTATTTTAAAACATAACTTTACCTCACCACCATAGACAGCGGACCTTACTTACCTACCATAAATAGAAATGAACTAAATAAACAAATAAACTCAAAAGAAATCAAACGAAAACAAAAGCGATGTTACTAAATTCTGGCTAGATACTGTTACAAGCCAAAACTCCTGGCCTGAGGCCTAGTCTATCTTGATTGAAAAGGTCTATTAACGCGTGTTAGGTATTAAAGACCATCCGGGACCAATGGGAGACTTTCTCATAAACAGGAGGTCTGAAAGAGAACTGAAAACGGAAACGGAATACTTTTCCACGTGATTTCAGTGTTACTCCAGGATGGCTTGGGTACCTGCGATACAGCCTCGGGGAACGGTGACACTGACCACACACTGTCGTACTGACCTCAGCTGCCCAGGCCCACTGTAAGTTCACGCAGGTGAAGGCACCCGCAGTCTCGCGCAATCCCGCGGGGCCCGCACCTGCGACTCTGCCAGCCCCGCGCCCGCCCCTCCGGACACCCGCGGCCCCGCACCTGCCCCTCCGCCCCGGCCCCCCACCCGCGCCTCGGCGACAGACAGCAGCAGCATCCTTACGCCTGCCCTGCCCGCGCTGCCCCCGTGCTCAGCCGGGGCTACCTGGGGCTCTCCCGCAGAATCAGCGCCGCGGACGCCGCCATCCTCGAAGCTCCCTGGCCCCGCCGCTAGGATCAGCTGCCTGGAGTCCAACCAATGGCGGCGGCAGCGGCGGACGGCAAGCCGGAAGGCTCAAGCCACGCAGGGGCCGCGCCGCTCCGGTCCTGCGATCCTGGAGGGGCGAAGGGGCGTCCCTGTCGTCCTCCCCTCCACTCCCGCCGTTCCGAGTTAAGGCTGTACATATATTAATTTATTTATATGTACATATTTGCCTATTTTATATATATACGCATACCTGGATATGGTGTGGCTATTTTTATGTATTATGTAGGTAGTGTGTGTGTATAAACATATACATTTACGCGTGCGTACATATACACATACATTTTTTTGGAAGAAAAAGTTTAAGCAGTGCCCGCGGTGTCTGGCCTGCGCTGCAAATGGGCAGGCGGTGGAACGCGCTCCCTGAAGGAGCCCAGGGCCAGCTCCACCCTGTGCTCTGCGCCACCAGCCCTTCCTGTATCTAGATCCCTGGAGCTCTGCAGTGCCCCACGCGGAGCCTGGGCTCTTTGTACTTTTATTCGTTCAGTAGTGTTCTTTGAGCACCTACTGTGTGCCAGGCACTGTGCTAGACACTCGGGATACAAAAGACCAAAATTCCTGCTCTTGAGGTTTGCCAGCAGGTAAATGAGCAAATGTTTGTTGTGCCTTTCTTTGTGGTCGGGCACTGAGCTAGGTACTGCGGAGTAGAGGAGATGAATCGCCGCAGAGGCTGCGATTAAGGACATCTCAGGAGAATAGAGAGACAACGCGAGTTCAGGAATACCTTTGTCTCACTTAGAGAAAAACATGTAGTGCATTAAGGGGATTCGGAGCTGGGAACAGTGATAAGGCATCCGAGGTTGGATCAGGAAAATTTCCTGGGACAGGTGGCATGAAGAAGCCTTGAATGATAGGTTGTGGCATGTACATTTAGTCTGGTGAGAAATGGGGAGCCATTAAATGTTTTCAAGCAAAGAAATTTTTGTGAGAACTGTGTTTGTTTGTTGAAGATTACTGTAAGCAGAATGATTATTGGATGGGAAAGAGGTAAGCAGGAAAGCCAGATAGGGAGCTATTGCAATAATCTATGGAAAGCAATAAAATCCTTGGTAGTAAAATGGCACTGGAGAATGAAAAGATAGTGGATGAATTAGAGTTACATTTCAGCTGTAGAATCTTCAGGAGCCGAGAAAAGATTGGATTTAATTTTCGTACCCAATTATGTTTTACTTAAATTATTATTTACATTAGTTGGCATTCCTAGAGCAGCCCTGAAACATCCTAACTGAAAGAAGCCAGATTGCAAATTAAAAGTGAATAATCCCCACATGGATAATTGAGTCAATTATACAGTGTATTGAACACATACAAATACATATGGTTTGACAACACTCCACACATTTCCCAATTTGTGCAGCATCTGAAAAAAATGTATGTGGATCTACATAAATTATAGGTGTCCGATACAAACACAGATTACCTTACCTGGCACATTAATAGAGTCCCAGTTCGATCAGCTTTTGAATCATTTCCGTTTTGTCTTGATTCATTGCCTGAAGTAGAGCCACTAACCAGGTAAAACTATTTTGAATCTCTAGGAGGAGGAGGTGAAGTTTACCTCCTCTTAGTTCCCTTCAAAACTATAGCTGGGACTTTGAGCCAAAGAACCTCAGGGTGGTTTGAGCCCTGAATCTGTGTAACCTGGAACAAAGCAATCTACCTCACCAAGTTTCCTCTTCCTGATCTGCAAAATGGAGGTGAGAATAATGTCTGCTCCCCTGGGGTGTGGTAAGAATTAAACAGCCTGATGTGTATGTGCAAGAATCACTCGACCTTCCCTTATAAAGCAAAGCACAGACTTCCAAGATTTTAGTAAAATGGTGTCTAATGGACACAGAGGGCCTCTCACTATATTTCTCTTCATTTTCACTGATGGGGTGATCACTTTTTTTTTTTAATAAATAAATTTATTTATTTATTTATTTATTTATTTTTGGCTGTGTTGCGGTCTTCGTTGCTGCACACGGGCTTTCTCTAGTTGCGGCGAGCCGGGGCTACTCTTCGTTGCGGTGCACGGGCTTCTCATTGCGGTGGCTTCTTTCGTTGTGGAGCACGGGCTCTAGGCGCACAGACCTCAGTATTTGCGGCACGCGGGCTCAGTAGCTGTGGCTCACGGGCTCTAGAGCACAGGCTCAGTAGTTGTGGTGCACGGGCTTAGTTGCTCCGCGGCATATGGGATCTTCGCGGACCAGGGCTCGAACCCGTGTCCCCTGCATTGGCAGGCAGATTCTCAACCACTGCGCCACCAGGGAAGCCCCGGGGTGATCACTTCTTGTTACTACTTTTTCCTATAAAGGTTTGATGCAGTGAATAATTTCAACCCCTAAATGAGACTATTACCCCAAATATTTCTGTAGTCTCTGGAGTATAGGCATACCTATCCAAAGCTACAGGTCCTTGTAGTTGTCTTCCTGTTGCCACCTGCTGGAGGGCAGGAAATGTACCTCCTGGAGGCATAATTCCATAACCACACTTTACTCCTACCCCCCAACTTGTCAACCCATCTTTATGATAGATCCAGAGCCCAGATCTGTTGCCCCTGATCTATTAGAGCTACTAAACATGCTCAGTGCCCTGAAGTTTCTTCCGTACCCTTGCCTTTATTGCAAACTTCTGCCAAATTCACCTTTTTTTATATTCTGTGTTAGCCTGGGTTCTCTAGAAAACAACCTGAGTTGCATGCTGATGTTTCACTGGGGGCTGTAATTGTAGGAAAGTAGGAGTGAGGGCAAAGGGAAGGAAAGGAGGAATGAAGGGAGGAGGAAAGCAAATAAAAGGTGGCATGTTATCCAAATTGTTACAGCTTCAAAACCCAGCTTATTTCTCAGAGAGACTATTTCAAGTTGCTGTATCTCGCAACAGCAAAGAGATAGCAGTAGGGGGGAAATTTTTGTCTGCAAACTCTTTCCAATCTGCTGTCTTTTTTTGGTCCAAATTTGTCCTATGGTTCACACCTCCCCTGAACTCCTCGGGTATGTCACCTGGCACCTCTAGGCAGCCACTGGAAAATCCAGAGCTCCATGAGTCGGGTAGAGTAGGAACTGAGTCTGGAGCTATTAAAAAGAGCCCTCGGCTCAATCCCTGCCAACACCCACCTCAGATGTCTCCTCCCCAATCCCTGCCCCACCAAGGCTGGCAGGAAGTGACAGGAGATTTAAGACCACGAGAATAATTCAGCATTCCCAGGGCTCACTTTACTGGGAAAGTCAGGCAACGGGCTGAAGCCTGGGATGCAGTGGGGTGAGCATATCTGGGGAGGTACATAGCCTGAAGACAGTTTTACTCCTCAAGTGGAATCTCAACACAAGAATTGCTTGGGCCCTGAGTGCTTCAGCTCTTAACTGATGGAGCTTTTTCAATTCACGTGTGCCTAGTTGTTTTACCAAAGTCTATCAGAACACAGGTTGGAGTGAGGTTGGTGACCACCCTCCCCTCTGTCTTTAGAGCTAGGTGTGAACTTTGTCCCATTTGGAGCACCTCCTTTTTGTGTGTTTTTTTTTTAAGTTTGTTTGTTTGTTTGTTTTTTATATGGACCACTTTTAAAGTCTTTATTGAATTCCTTACAATATTGTTTCTGTTTTATGTTTTGGTTTTTTGGCCGCGAGGTATGTGGGACCTTACCTCCCCAACCAGGGATCGAACCCGCCCCCCCTGCATTGGAAGGCGAAGTCTTATCCACTGGACCTCCAGGGAAGTCCCTGGAGCCCCTCCTTTTTGATGGGTTCCTTCCCAAGGGCCCCATGGCAGCATCCAGCAATGTGGCCTCAGTCTGCACCCGCCTTCTCCCTACTAGGCATGATTTATATCTTTAACACTCAACGAAGTAGAGCCAAAGTCTGGGCCTATTTTTTCCAGAAGTCTCCTCCAACGCTTAAGAAAACCCTGGGTACATCAAGGAACCCAGCCCAAATCCATTCCTCAACATTCCAGCCACAAATGTAAACGATTATCTTTGGAGGAAAGGTAACACCTACTCAGCCATCAGAATGGTATCTGAGCCCCAGGAACCTAGTCCAGTGGAAATGACCATTTAAGTAAGCTCTTGATATATACTGTCAAATTGGGGAGTGGCGGGGGGGGGCTGAAAATGGTGCCCTGATACAAAGGGAGAGTGGGAGTTTCAGGGCCCCGTGGTGGGGCTGCAGAGAGATTTGAAGATGGGTGAGTCTGGGACCCCTCCATTCGCACCATCAGGAACCAACTCCTCCATCTTGGTGATGAGGGTCTTTCTTATCAGCCAGAGCCCACGGTGGCCCTGGGGCACCCCCTGAAAGGGGACATGGGAGAACAGAGTTGACCAGCAGAGGAGACAGGAAGGAGGAGCTGGGAAGAGGGGAGATTGCTGGTGGGGAGGGAGGGGGGTGGAGGTCACTGACTGATGAAAATCATCCTCTGTGCGGAGCCGAGATCTACTTTTCCATTGGAACTGAAAGCTAGTTCCATCGTGTAGTCAGTTATTTGTGTTCTGAGTAGCTCTCTTTGAAGGCAGCATTTGCCAGAAAGTTTCAAGACATCTAAGTGCAAGGGTCAGAAGGGTCCGAAGCAGGAGGGGACCAGTGAGGCTTGCACTGGCTGCTTTCTTTAGAGCCCGGGCAGCTGGAACTTTAACTACCCAGTGAGAGTTCTGCTTTTGTGGACTTGATGGTTGGCCCTGGAAAATGTTTGCTTGGTTTTTTTCCCCTAAAATTTAACTGTCAGACAAGCTTTGGTCACAGGCTGGCTCTGCCCTGCGCCTATGTCGACACCACTCGGGGTCTCCCCTTCGGGCCCTTTGCACGGCCCCTCGAGGTCAGGGACCTCGGTCCAGCTGCCTGGACCAGCAGGACACACGGACCCTCTAACCCCACCTTCCCTGCCTCTCTGCTCTTCGCAGAATGGGCTGAACGGCTTGCATCTGGCCTCTAAAGAAGGCCACGTGAAGATGGTGGTCGAACTTCTGCACAAAGAGATCATCCTGGAA